GAAGAAGGGTCTAGGCCCGAAACGTCAGCTTTCCTGCTCCTCTGATGCTGCTTGGCCTGCTGTGTTCATCCAGCTCTACATCTTGTTGTAACAAATAAATAATTTGTTTTGTACGTATGTCGTAATGTATTTCTGAAAAAGTTAAATTAAAAGCTACATTGAAGACATTTATAATTTCTTGTTTCTTTTACCTTAGTGTGACATTACCTTACACCCATTCTGGGATTGTGATTGAGAAAGTCAGTAATTATATCCGTATCACCGCAAAGATCGGCTTGACTCTCATTTGGAATGGAGATGACGCCCTCACGGTATGTGCATCATAAATTAGCAGCTATTTGAATATACTTCATTATTTTCTATCCCTTAACTAAGAAAGCATGGATATGATGGTATTGTCCCTTCACTAATGAGTTTGAATCTTACGTGGCAGATGGTGAAATTTACTTCCTAAATATATCATTAAAAGCTGGGATACCATCTAAATCTGCCATCCAACTATCTGGTCTACACGTGACCCTGGATCCATTGACTCATAAATGCCCTCTGACATGGCAGACCAAATCTCTCAGTTGTATCTAACTGCTACAAATCCTGATTAAAAGGAACAAAATCAGATGGGACATCCAGCATTTACTAAGGTATTAGAAATGACAATTACATACCCTGTCGACCCAGCCAAAGTTGGGAAGGCTATCCCATGGACTATTCAAATAACAGCCTGACAGAGTCATTCTTACAGAACGATATCTTACAGGCAATGTGTCAGAAACCACTGCTACGACACCTGGGTATGTCCTGCCTGAATAGGACAGGCTCAGTAGAGGTTGAAATATAGTGGTATACAGTCAGGATGGAATTGACTCCGGATCCCATGAAGTCTCATGACATCAGATTAAACATGGTTCAATAGATTTCTTGCTGGTTACTGCCAACCACAGTCTCCCCAACACATCAGATGATGAATAATTTCTCTGCTATGTTGAACACCTGAAGGAAGCATGAGGTTGGCAAGAGCACATAATGTACACTTGGTGGGACCATCACCCTGGCCAAGTTCCAAAGTGTATAGCTGATAGCTGGGCATACATTTGTGGTTGGAGAACCAATCGGAGGCAAAAAAAGCATATTTGACTTTATCCTCACCAATTTACCTGAGGCAGATACATCCATCATGCTAGTACCAGTGGAGGTAATTATGGTGACAAGGTCCTGCCTTCAGTTTGAGGATACCCTCCATCGTGCTGTATGGCGCCATCATTGTGCTAACTAGGATAAATTTCAAACAGATTTAGGAGCTCAAGACTAGGCATCCATGGGATGTTGCAGGCCAGCAGCATTGGCAGAATTGTATTCAAACACAGTCTACAACCTCAGGATCTAACATATCCCACATTCTATCATCACCACCAATCCAGGGGTTCAACAAACAGCACAAGATGGCATGTCGAGAGTTGCAGCAGATGTATCTATAAATGAAGTATCAACCAGGTGAATCTACAATGCTGGGCGACTTGTGTGCCAAACAACATAAGCAGTATGTCATATATAAAAAAAAAGCGATTCCACAACCAATCAATCAGATCTAAGCTCTGCAGTCCTGCCACAATGTAGGAAGGTGCTCCATAAATATCCACATTCTCAGCGGTGATGCTGGGGCTATAATCTACAATCAGATTGACCACAGCTGTCTAGGTTTCTTGTCCCTAAGGGAAAGAATTCCCACTCTAATTATTTGAGCGCTAATTGAAGCTGCTCCCTTATAATATCACTTTGAGAAAGGCAGATTTCACAGAAAAGAGCTAACTGACTTTGTGGTTGGGGTGGACTAGATAATCAGCCCCCTTGTAACATCCAACTTTCAGAGATGAAGAAGGAATGGTGATATATGTCCAGGTTAGGTTGGCATGTGACCTGGACTGGAACTTACAGCAAGCAATGTTAATGCCGTCATAGATGATAAGGGCTGTTAGTTTAGGAGGTGGTTTCAAATAAGCCTTCAAAAATTGCTGATGTATCTTGTGGCTACTTTTCAAATTGAAGCCAAATACTAACCCTAACACTAATCCTAACCCTATCGCAGATGCTGGAGATCTGAAATAAAAACAGAAAGTGCTGGAGAAACTTAGCAGGCCTTGCAGCATCTAAGGAGAGATAAACAAAGTTAATATTTTGAGTCTGATATGACTTCTTCAGAACTGAGTGCACTGGAAAATGATGGGTTTTATGGTATTTACAAAGGGGTGGAATAAAAGCAGAGGAGTGCTGATGGTAGTAGAGGAATGATATAGATGAAAAATAGGTGTGATTAGTAGAAAATAGGTCAGCTTTGCTGAGAGCAAACCCATACAAACAAATCACTGGGAAGGTGTTGGAGAATTGGGAGTTGGGAAGGATGTGTAATCAAAATGCAACAATGTTCATGCTATGAAATTGTTGAAGTCAATATTGAGTTCTGAAGGCTATAAAGTGTTTAAGTGGAAAATGAAGTACTGTTCCTCCAGCTTGCATTAGGCTTTACTGGGACACTGCAGCAGAAGTAAATAGAAATGCAGCAATTGTGTTCTGGTGGTGGGGGAGAAAAAGTCATCAAGGTCTACAACGCAGAGCCATTAAGCCTGGGCCAATCAAAAACAATCACCTAAGTGTTCTCATTCCATTTGTATAAAAATAGTGGATGGTTAACACTCAAGTGGATTCCTTTGTCCCACATGGTGTAAAGGTGCTGAATGTAATAAGACTTGCACTCATCCAGGCAACTGGAGAGTTGTATTAGAAACATCATTTCTCAATGGAGTCTTTTATTCTGTGTCCTAACTAATGTAAACAATTGCAATATGCATAGTGTAACTCCTTAACTGGGGGTTGATCAACACAGTTGACTACAGTCGTTACGGAATTACACCAGGATCGATCCCCGGACGGACTGGTCAGTGCCCCTCAGTCAATATATGATCAATGGACAGCAATGCCTTTACCACTCTGCCACTGCCCTTCCTACTGCCTATTAATCAGCCAATCTAGACCAATTGCTGTAACACAATGCCGAGGTGGTGTGGCACAACACCGGACAAATCTCTGAAACCTCTCTCTCCTTCCTGGACCTCTCTGTTTCCATCTCCGGCAACCCACCTGGAAACTGATATCCATTTCAAGCACACCAACTCCCACAGCTACCTAGAATACACCTCCTCCCACCCACCTTCCTGCAAAAATGCCATCCTCTATTCCCAATTCCTTCGCCTCCGCCGCATCTGCTCCCAGGATGAGGCATTCCACTCCCGAGCATCTCAGATGTCCTCGTTTTTCAAGGACCGCAACTCCCCCCCCTCAGTGGTCAAGAATGCCCTCGACCGTGTCTCCCGCATTTCCCGCAACTCATCACTCACACCCCCTCCCCGCAATAACAACAAAAACAGAATCCCCCTCGTCCTCACGTACCACCCCACCAACCTCCGGATCCAACGCATCATCCTCCGACCCCACCACCAAAGACATTTTTCCCTCCCCACCCTTATCTGCTTTCTGGAGGGACCACTCTCTCCGTGACTCCCTTGTCTGCTCCACACTTCCCTCCAGCCCCACCACACCCGGCACTTTTCCCTGCAACCGCAGGAAGTGCTACACCTGCCCCTACACCTCCCCCCTCACCCCCATCCCAGGCCCCAAGAAGACCTTCCACATCAAGCAGATGTTCACCTGCACATCTGCTAATGTGGTATACTGTATCCGCTGTTCCCATTGTGGCCCCATCTACATCGGGGAAACCGAGCGGAGGCTTGGGGACTGCTTTGCGGAACCCCTTATCTCGGTTCGCACTAAACAACTGCACCTCCCAGTCACGAACCATTTCAACTCCCCCTCCGATTCCTTAGACGACATGTCCATCCTGGGCCTCCTGCAGTGCCACAACGATGCCCGAAGGTTGCAGGAACAGCACCTCATATTTCGCTTGGGAACCCTGCAGCCCAATGGTATCAATGTGGACTCCACAAGCTTCAAAATCTCCCTCCCCCAACCGCATCCCAAAACCAGCCCAGCTCGTCCCTGCCTCCCTAACCTGTCCTTCCTCCCACCTATCCCCTCCTCCCACCTCAAGCCCCACCCCCATCTCCTACCTGCTAGCCTCATCCCGCCCCCTTGACCTGTCCGTCCTCCCTGGACTTACCTATCCCCTCCCTAACTCCCCACCTACACTCACCCTTACTGGCTCCATCCCCGCCTTTTTAACCTGTCTGTCTCCTCTCCACCTACCTTCTCCTTTATCCATCTTCTATCCGCCTCCCCCTCTCTCCCTATTTATTTCAGAACCCCCTTCCCCTCCCCCATTTCTGAAGAAGGGTCTAGACCCGAAATGGCAGCTTTCCTGCTCCTCTGATGCTGCTTGGCCTGCTGTGTTCATCCAGCTCTACACCTTGTTATCTCATCCTACAAGGCCATTTTCTGCTCATTCACTGAGTCATGCTACAGCCCAAAGGTGATGGATATCATGATGAGGAACAAGTGGTCTGAGCAGAACACTTGAAGTCAAAATTTTAATTGAAGGTATCAAGAAACTTGGGGAACAGATAAGTTCGATAAAGAGAAGCTATTTGTTCTGGATGATGAGACTAGGGCTGGGGCATGCTCTAAGAATCAGGCGAGAAACTAAGAAACAATTCTGTACACAAAAGGTGGTAGAAATGTGCACATCTCTTCCACAAAGAACAATTGAAGCTTGATCAAATGTTAATTTTAAATTTGAATTTGATAAATGTTTGTTTGTGTAAATTGTCAAGAAACCTGGGGCAAAGGCAGATGCCAGGATTTGCAGAACAGCCACTTTTGGGGTGAGATCCAGGAATCTCCTTGCTGCTAAACACAAGATTAGCTGCATAAAGATTGGGGAAAATGTTAGCTGGAGTGCAGCTGCCAGAAAGGTTATGAGATTCAAGTCAGTGGTGCACATTCCGTGGATTCATAATCTGCCTACACCCCAATGCATTCTTCCGCATTGCCAACCCACCCAAAACAGAACCTGGAGCCTCATATTGCAGTCTCTAAAATATTCCCTCTGACAGAAAAAAACACTTCTTTTCTTCATGTTACTCCACGTAGCTCATAGTACATTATTGATTTTTTTTTTCTTTTTCTGCATTAGCTTGAACTGGGCCAACAGTTTGTCAACACAACATGTGGGCTCTGTGGTGATTTCAATGGCATACAGGATAATGAATTTTTTTTGAATGGTACGTATAATGGACACTAGCCATCACATTTGATTAGGTAGGTTTTATTTCATGTTGTTTATTTATTGCCTGTTATTGATTACAGGATACCACCTGACTCCTATCCAGTATGGAAACTTACAGAAACTGAATGATCCCAAGGAGCAATGCAATGATGTATCTTCATCTGATAATGATAAAAATTGTTCAAATTTTGTGAGTGAATGTTTCTCATTTATCTAACCTCCCTCCGGCTTGAATCCATTTTAGCTCTGAGATTTTATTTTAAAAATTTGCTTCTGCTAATTATCTACTCCTTTTTCACAGCTGATTAGGCATTGTTAAAGGGTGTGAACAGCGAATGAGTAAACTATTGTTATTAGTACACATAGCCCAGAAGAAGGCCATCTGCCCTGCCTGCATGCAAGGTCCACACAGAGCAACCTCCTACCCCATGTTGGTCAGGGTGACATAGTGATAATGTCATTTAATGTCAATTTGGGTGGCACAGTGGTCAGCACTGCGGCCTCACAGCACCAGGGATGTGGGTTTAATTCCAGCCTCAGGAGACTGCCTATGTAGAGTTTGCACATTCTCCCTGTGTCTGTATGGATTTTCTCCCATAGTCCAAAGATGTGCATGTTAGGTGAGTTGGCTATGCTAAATTGGCCAAAGTGTGCAGGCTAGGTGGATCAGCCATTGTAAATACAGGAGTTGGATGGTCAGTGCAGGCTGAATGGCCTCTTTTTGCATTGTAGGGTTTCTATGATTCCTCTAATGTCACTGGATTAATAACCCAGCAGCCCCAGACTAATGCACCGGTGAGTATGGGTTCAAATCTCACCATGGCAGATGGTGAAATTTAAATTTTTTAAATTTCATTCATGGGATATGAGCATCACTGGCAGCATTTATTGCACATCCCTAATTGTTCAGAGAGTAGTTAAGAGTCAACCACATTGATGTGGCCTGAAGTTACATGTAAGGATGATGGTTTCCTTCCCTAAAGAGCATTAGTGAACCAGATGGGCTTTTCCAACAGTTGGTGGTTTCATGGTCATCAGTAGACTCCTAATTCCAGATTCTTTATTGAATTCAAATTCCACTATATGCTACGGCAGGATTTGAATCTGCATCTCTGGATTATTTTTATGGCGATAATATCACAAGGCCATCACCTCAATTAAGAAAAAAATCTGGAATAAAAATCTAACCTAATAATGCTTATGTAACCAATTGTCATATAAACCCATCTGATTCACTAATGTCCTTTAGGGAAGGAAACTACTATTCTTACCTGATCTGACCTACAAATAATCCAGACCCACAGCAATAAGGTTGACTCTTAAATAATTAGGGATGAGCAATAAATGCTGGCCTAGCCAGTGATGCTCACATCCCGTGAATGAGTAACAAAAATCCCGATTGGCATAATCAATACTTTTCTCCCTCATGTTTATCCAGCTTCTTTTTGAATGCCTCTATGCTATTCACCCTAGCTATCCCTGGTGGCATAGTAGTAAAATATGTTAACAAGATTATTTTTTAAAATGTAAATTAGTATTAGCATTAATTTCTAGGGGAATAGAATTGAAAAATGGAGAAGTTATGTTAAATCTGTATAGTATCTTGTTTTTGCCTTCTTAGCCAAAAAGTCTGAAGAATATGGGACTCACTACCATAGGGGATAGTTGATAGTGTAGATGAATTTAATTAGAAACTGCAGATGAAGGAGATAGGAATAGAATGTCATGCTAATAAGGTTAGATGAAGAAGGATGGGGTTAGTGTCGTTAACAAACATAGACACATCATATACTATCATAGATAAAGCACGGCTTGTTGGACTGATGGGCCCATTTCTGTGCTGTAGATTCATTGGGACCCAATGTAAATGACAATGTACTAATTTTATACTTTTTAAAATTCAGGATATCTGATGTTTAGAATGATAATAATTCATTGGTACATATGGTCCTCTGAGATCAGGATGGAGAGATCCTTGTTCTAACTCAATATTTCCAGGAGTACTTAATGCATAAGCTGGTGGCAAAAATGCAAGCATCTCATGTACCAATGATCCACATGTTTGTTATGAAATATATTATCAATGTAATTAAAGACCGATATACAATTAACAATTTTTGGCATTTACTAAATAATTTCTTTTCTCCTCAGGAATCCATGTGTGAAAGAGCTCTCACAGATCCAGGTTTTTCCAACTGCTATGATATCTTAGATTTAGCACCTTTTATCAAGAGCTGTATGCTGGACTTATGCCTGTGCAAGGATTCAGAAAATCCATCATCCTGCATGTGTAATACTTTATCAGAATTTTCTAGACAATGTGCTCATGTTGGAGGTAAACCCAGCAACTGGAGAAGGAAAGAAATGTGTGGCAAGTAGTTTTAAAATTGCTCAACCTCAAGTTCCTTAAACAAAATCACAAAAACCTTTATTTTCTCATGGAAATTATGAAGACATTAAATGTTGGCACTGTACCTCTATTACAGAGAAGACATGTCAATTTAATATGACCTATGAGGAGTGTGGTATTCCATGTGCGGACACATGCTCAAATCCTGATAGGAGCCAGATGTGTGAGGACCACTGCATTGATGGCTGCTTCTGTGCTCCAAGTAAGATATAATACTTCAGAAAATATAGTTCAGTTAAGTACCAACTGCATGTGATGGTTTTTCCTTGTTTAATAAGGGAGAGAAGGATGGTTTATGTGTCAAAAGCACATTGACTAAAAGGTGACGTGAAAATTTCCCCTAGCACAGCTATCACAATCTAAAGGAATATTACAAGTTAATTATCAGAACCCAAGAGTTTAACTGTCTTTCGCCCTTACTGATGCTGACTGAGCTGTGCATTGTAAGTATTTTCTGTTCTTTTTTCAGATTTTCAGCATTTTTCAATGTTTTCTTTGTATTTTAAAGTTTACTCATGTAGCTGTGTCCATGATTGTAGATGTGTTGGCAAGGCTTTATCCCTGATCTTATCACCGAGGCAGGAGCCGTATTATACTTATATTGTAACTAAAGCAAACTGCTAATACTTCTGAAATCAATATTTTCTGATTTACCTTATCTGAAATAAAGGTAGGGTTATGATTAGCTACCATGATTAAATTCCATGATCTGATACTTCAGAGCATTGTAATACAGAGAATTATGTAAATCCTTTATGCATTAGAAGTAACAGCAAGACATTCTAAATCGTAGGAAGAGGAGTGATGGATGCTTCTGCCACCTCAGTAATGTACAAGGCCTATCTGAAATTTTGTTCAAGCAGAACAGAGCCTGTAAACAGACAAGCACTGCCTGCCTGTGCTTCCCCATATTAAATGCTCTTAAGGCTGCTGGAATAATCTGTGAATCAGCATCAAATGCTGATTATAACATTCTGAAAAAAATTTAGGAACAAATAGGACGGATTTGTACCATGTAAGCTTTGCTTAGTTGTACTATATTGACAAATGAAAAATATTTGGGTGTTGCATTACTTTTAATGTTATTATAGAGAAGATGTAATAACACTTTTATAGAGAGATGCGTGAGCCCTCCTCATATTATTGAGCTGTGCATGTGGTATCAGTGTTATCAAGTGGAATGTAATACTAATGTGGTGAGTTTGCTATATTGGTACTGTGGTTCTGGAGAGGAGTATGTTAATGATATTTGCATATTTTATTAACGTTATGGACAAAGGAGTCTTACAGTAGTTTTGAAGACAGTGGGTAGTTCATTGTGTTATAGAGATGGTGTTTGTTGGCGATTGTTAGAGAAACACTGATTTGTGTTGTATTAAATACAAACATAAAAATAGATTCATAGCAGAGGCATTTCCAAGTGTTACAAAGTGACATTACAATAGCAAAGATTATAATGAGATCACATGATGATAACATCTCCAGTAGAAATAACTGAATCATATTGTTCATCAACTAAGGAAAATCTGCATGTTAAGAATCTGTGTATATCTAACTTCAAGACTTGATATTGTAGATACTGTTTTTGATGATATTTCCAACACTGGATGCATTCCAAAAGAACAGTGTCCCTGTACCTACAATGGATTATCCTATGCACCTGGAGAGTCTTATTCCACCAAATGCAGTAAATGGTAATTAATTAGACTTTTACAAAAAAGACAAATAAATCATTAAGTTTGTGTTTTTTTAGATGAAATTTATCTTTTTATCATTTTTTTCTTGATCTTCATCTAAGAAAACTACTGATATTGAACACTTTTTACTCTGGCAGCAATTGTAATGGAGGACAGTGGTCCTGTACTGATCTATCTTGCCCTGGGATCTGCTCTGTTGAGGGGGGAGCTCATATTAATACATTTGATGAAAAGCAATACAAATTCCATGGGAATTGTCATTATGTTCTTGCTAAGGTAAGGATCTCTTTCACTTGAGTTTTAGTAAAGTGAAAATTAACAGCACTAACAAGTTTAACTTGCTAATAATGTTGCTGATTACATTATATAAGAGAGTTGCTATTGGTATATTTCTGTTTTCATTTCTTCCAAAGGTCTGTATGTTACATAAGAATAAACTTAACAAAACATTCAAATCTCTATGAAGTGCATTTAGTTTGAAGTGCCATGTAAGTGAATGATTTCTTTGCCATTGATAAAGTTGCTGTTTGGTTTCTTTCTTCTAATCCATCACTCTAGGACTGCAATAATACTTTCTTCACTGTCCTTGGAGACCTGCATCAATGTGGCATTACTGAATCTGAAACATGCTTAAAGTCTGTATCACTGACTGAACATAGATCTCAAACTGTAAGTCATATGCAATTTGCTTTTTGATACTTTAAATATTTTGATATATATTTAAGGGAGCACCAAGGTCCAGAAATGATTTTATCAAGAATGTATTGGTCCTTTATTTACAGATCATTACAATTAACCCCAGTGGCCGTGTGTCTGTCAATGGAATCTTTACAGAATTGCCTTTAACCGTTGGTAAGTCATGGTCTAAAATCAATAATATTTTGCCTTAAACATAAAATATACCTAATTTCTTTGCCTGCAAGAAAATCTCAAGCAACCAGATTCCTGATTGGACACCACATGACCACAAGTACTATGTAATAGGCTTTGTATATGTCATAGATTTCTGACACTGATGCCATCTTAAAACCTCAATCAGTGAACCTGTATGATAACTGAGCAGCTCACAACTTCACTTGCTTGTTTACACCAGAGAGCAGGAAGACATTCTGGTGTTGTAGCCTCCACACTTGACCCTGTGGAAAGAGCAAATCCTGCCCGTGCAACACCCCGTACAGACAGCGCTCCAGGACTTTACTAGCAAAGCAGGGCACTAATATCCGCCTGTCTACCAAGTGCAGGGCAAAGATCAGGAACCATGGAGGGCAGCTCTGGATTGACAGTGTTTGTCCAGATGCACAACAGACCTTAGAAAAAGTACCAACACTCGGGACACAATCAATTCCAGGATTCCTAGTGAGTGACAAATTGAAATGGTATATGGTAAGATGGTGTGGAGATCGACTATGATGCTCACGTTAAGAGCTGAATCACCAATTATTGCAATGGGCTTGGTAAGAGATGGTGAGAAAATTTGCTCAACCTGGTGGTGAGAATCATTCCAGCAAACTTATCATAACTTGCACTCAGCCAAAAAAATGTATAATTCAGCTGAAAGAAATCAACAAATATTTCAGTGGGACTGTAATTGAAAATTAGTTGCAATATAGAAAAAGGCATTCAAGTCCATAACTTCCTGAAAGTGGCCATGCAAATAGATAGGGTGGTAAAGAAGACAAATGGCATGCTTGCCTTTATTGGTCAGGGAATTGAGTACAAGAGTCAGGATGCCATGTTGCAGCTTTATAAGACTTTGGTTAGGCCGCACTTACAGTATTGCATTCAATTCTGGTTGCCACATTACAGGAAGCATGTGGAGGCTTTGAAGAGCGTGCAGAAGAAGTGTACCAGGATGCTGCCTGGATTAGAGGGTATGAGCTAGAGGAGAGGCTAGAAAAACCCGAGTTGTTTTCTCTTGATTGGCGGAGGCTGAGGGTAGACTTGATAGAAGTCTATAAAATTATGAGATGCATTGACAGGATTGACATTCAGAATCTTTTTCCCAGAGTTGAAATGTCTAATACTAGGGGGCATGCATTTAAGGTGAGAGGGGGAAAGTTCAAAGGAGACAGCAGGGGCAAGTTGTTTTTTACACAGAGAGTGATAGGAGTCTGAAATGCACTGCCAGGGATGGTGGTTGAGGCAGGTATGATAAGGGCATTTAAGAGACTTTTAGATAAGCATTCCTTGCATGATGGAGGGATATGGACCAAGGGCAGGCAGAAGGGATTAGTTTCGTTTGGCGTCATGTTCAGCACAACATTGTGGGCAAAAGGGCCTGTTCCTGTGCTGTACTCTTCCATGTTCCATGACACTTGGTAGGAAGAGGATGGAGGCTATGAACTACTTAGAAAATAAGCATAGATATGTAGGTGAAAGGTGCTAAGGGTAGAAAAATAACAGATGATTAAAAGTAGCAGTACAGGTTTATAAAACAATAAAAACTGAAACAAAACACTTGAGTCCATTTCAAGAAAGAATAGAATGCAAGTGCAAAATGTTGTGTTACGTAAAACCTTGGTTGGACCATGCTTAGAATATTAGGCACAGCTTTGTTCTCTGTATAATACAAAAATGATATAGAAGTCATGACAAAAATGGACAAAGACATGAAAAAGATAAGAGGAGAACCTAGAGAAAGCCACCAGCACCTAATGGAGCAGCAGAGAGGAGGAGCCAGAGCCAGCCACCAGTGAGTGCCTAAACAAGGGAGAGAGCAAGCACAGGGACAGCAGCTTGAGAAATAGCATCAGCGAGTGGGATCAGCACCTTCATAAAAAGCAGGAGAGAGAACTGAATCAGCAACTTCTCAAACAAAATGACAGAACAGTGACAACAGCTTCAAAAAGAGATGAGCAGCCTGTGTGAGAAGGTAGCAGGAGATAAAAACCAACAGCACAGAGGCACCCTGAGATAACAAGGTGTAGAGTTGGATGAACACAGCAGGCCAAGCAGCATCATAGAAGCAGGAAGGCTGATGATTCCGGCCTAGACCCTTCATCAGAAATGGGGGAGGGGAAGGGGGTTCTGAAATAAATAGGGAGAGAGGGGGAGGCGGATAGAAGATGGATAGAGGAGAAGATAGGTGGAGAGGAAACAGACAGGTCAACCTTCGGGTGGCATCGTTGTGGCGCACTCACAGCAACTCATATTCCGCTTGGGAACCTGCAGCCCAATGGTATCAATGTGGACTCCACAAGCTTCAAAATCTCCCCTCCCCCAACCGCATCCCAAAACCAGCCCAGCTCGTCCCTGCCTCCCTAACCTGTCCTTCCCCCCACCTATCCCCTGCTCCCACCTCAAGCCGCACCCCCATTTCCGACCTATTAACCTCATCCCGCCCCCTTGACCTGTCCATCCTCCCTGGACTGACCTATCTCCTCCCTAACTCCCCACCTACACTCACCTTTACTGGCTCCATTCCTGCCTCTTTGACCTGTCTGATTCCTCTCCAACTATCTTCTCCTCTATCCATCTTCTATCTGCCTCCCCCTCTCTCCCTATTTTTTTCAGAACCCCCTTCCCCTCCCCCATTTCTGATGAAGGGTCTAGGCCCGAAACGTCAGCCTTCCTGCTCCTCTAATGCTGCTTGGCCTGCTGTGTTCATCCAGCTCTACACCTTGTTATCTCAGATTCTCCAGCATCTGCAGTTCCTACTATCTCTAGCACAGAGGCACCCTAACCAGTTTCTAACTGTCAGAGCAGAAATTAATATCACAGGAAAACAATTGATTGGTGGATATTTCTTCCATATCTCATTTGATTGGTCAAATAATGTAAGTGGGGAGATGTTATTATCGCTGAAAAATACAGTTAAGAAATTCATTTTAAAATATTAAACAATCTATTAATTAATTAAATAGAATAGAGATAGCTGGGCTGGGCAAGTATTGCAGCTGGTAGGTGTCAGTGCAATCCACGAATACCACATTTTCAGCAAGTGCTGACTACTTGAGGAATTTCAGCTCAGAGTTGATGTCTGAGCTGCAGACACTGCAAAACAATAGGGAGGGAGAGAGGTGCTTGGGGAATTACAGAGGTATGAAGAAAGTGTTGTCCAAAGCTGGCTAGAGAAAGGATGAAGGGAAAAGTTAGTGGATGAGCAGTGGTAGATATTTAAGCAGGTTTTTAATAACACTCATAAAATATTATTCCAGTTACAAAGAAGGACTCAGGAAGGATGAACTATTGATGGCCTGTATTACCATGCCATTTAGCACACACAGGAAGCTTGAAATGGCTGTCAGCAGGCCTCAATAGACTCAATGGGGATAGCCTTCATTCAGGTGTCCCTGCACTGTAAGTCAAGAGCAGTCTCTGATACCAGTTCAGGGACTTAGAGAGTTAGTCAGTCACTCAGGGTGATCAGAGTCAGGATGGCTTCTACATAACGGACGAGGAAGCGTCTTGACTCTTTGTGCCCTATAGTGGACTGTTTTCCTCCTGGCATGAGAGAGAGACAGGTATTACAGAGGATGAAAGTGGGTGGCACAGCGGTGCATTTGGTGCAGGTGGAGAGGTGTCCAACATGAGCAAGGAAAAAGAATAGGCCACTCATCCCTTTGAACCTGTTCCTCCATTTAATAAGATCATGGCTGATTTTAACCTCAATGCTACATTGCTGCATACCCCCAATAATCTTTCATCCACTTGGTAATCAAGGATCTACCTAACTCTGCTATAAAAATATTCAAAGATTCTGCATCCACCGCCTTTTGAGAAAGGGAATTCTAAAGACTCACTACCCTGAGAGAAAAAATATTTCCTCATGTCTGTTTAAAATGAGTGACCCTTATTTTTGAACTATGACCTCTGGTTCTAGATTCTCCTACCAGAGGAAACATTCTTTCAACATCTACCCGGTCAAGTCTCCTCAGGATCTTGTTTGTTTCAAATAAGTTGCCTCTGACTCTTCAAAACACCAGAGCTTACAGGCTTCACCTTTCCTCATAAGGCAATCCACTCATTCTGGGTATTAGACTAGTAAACCTTCTCTGAATTGCTTCCGATGCATTTGACATCCTTCCAAATTTACAAATGATGAACCAGTTCTGGACACAATACTCACTGTGCCTCACTAATACCCTGTATAACTGAATCATATCCTCCCTACTCTTGCATTAAATTCCCTGGCAAAAAAACATAACCGTTTATTAGCATTCCTGATTACTTGCTGAATCTGCAAACAGTACTAAGCAACTGTGCACTAGGACACCCAAATCTTTCTCCCGAGTGTGTGAATAGGCAGCTCAGATGGCATGCAATGTTTGGGACTGGCAACGATTGCTGGAATTACCAGTGATGTCCACATTCCATGGAAAAATATTGCAAACTTTAATAGCTTTAATAAAAGACACAGCAGGCAGGATTTCCGCACTCCCTTGGGGTGGTGGGGCAGGTGGTGGAAAGGGCATACTATATCAAAAAAAATTAAAAATCATTGAAGACAATGATTCATCCTTTTTGTTATTTGAGATAAATTTTAAAGCAAATATGGAATCCAAGTAATTTACACAATGTTGCTTTGAACTATTTTCTTCTGATAGTGTATTTTAATTGGCTTGAAGAAATCTGTTATATACATTCTTAAATGCTCAACTTCCTTGTTTTCACAGCTAACCTCACCATTTTCATGCCCTCGAGTTTCCATGTTATCATTCATACTTCTTTTGGGCTGCAGCTCCAGGTACAGTTGGTGCCTATCATGCAACTTTATATAACGCTGGATTCTGTCTTCAAAAGTCGGATGTGTGGTAAGTTACAAACTAATTGTACCCTTATCATCCAGCCATTGGAAGTAGTCGTAAATGCTACATTGTTTTCAGTGATTTCACATTGTACGATGTGTTTGTGTTTATTTAGGTCTTTGTGGAAACTTCAACAATGTACTCAATGACGAATTTAAAATAGTCAGTGGTCTTGTGGAAGGAACACCTGCTGCCTTTGCAAATACCTGGAAGACTAAAGCCAGCTGCCCTGACAGAAAAGATATTCATGAAAATCCTTGCTCCCTCAGTGTCGTAAATGGTTAGTCTATAACTTACTGCTTTTCAGTGATGAGCCGATAGGTTGGAATTCAAAGCTTAAGAAAACAAGCCTAATAGTAGTGTTTCAGAATCCGTAATATTAACCATGTTATTGTTTAATGCATGAATAATTTATTCACTAAAGTACAATTTCATCTCTGTAAAGTTTACAAGAAATGGATTATTATGGAGCAAGAACATGGCCTGGCTATCAAGCCCCACATATGCATGATGTATCAGAAATGTAAGAAAGACAAAATAAGCTTCCACCAGCAATTGGTAGGAGCTTCACTGTAACAGACTGTAGCAGAAATGATAGCATGAAAACATCAACCATCTTGAAGGCTTAACATGGATTTACAATAATGTTGCTTATTTAAGTCGGGCTTCCTGGGATATAATCAGAGATCTGCAGCACAGAAAAAGGCATTTCAGTCCATTACGTCCACACTGGTCAAAAACAACCACCTAATTATTCCAATCCCATTTCCAGCACTTTGCCCATAGCCCTTGCATGCTTTGGCATTGCAAGTGCACATCTGAATACTTAAATATTTTGAGGGTTTCTGCCTCTATGACAATTATAGCAGTTTGTTCCAGATTCCCACCACCCTCTGGGTGAAAAACGTTTTCATCTTATCTCCTCTAAATTGTCTGCTCTCACCTTAAATATATGCTGCCTGGTCATTGATTCTCCATCAAGGGGAAAAGATTTCTTCCTGTCTATCCTATCCATGCCCCTCATAATCTTATACACCTTAATCATGTCCCCTGCCAATCTTCTCTGCTCTAAGGAAAGCAACTCCAGTACGTTCAATCTCTCCTAATAACTGAAACTCTCCAGCCAACATAACATCCTGGTAAATCTGTTGTGCACCCTGTCCAGTGCTATCACATCCCCCTATAATGTGGATTACAGAACTGCACACAATACTCTAGCTGTGGCCTAATCAATGTTTTATACAGTTCCAACATAATCTCCTGGCTCTTAAACTCTATGTCTTCACTAATAAGGTATACCAGATGTCTTGTTAACCACTTTATCTATTTGACTTGATATGGACCTTGGGAAAGCGACCAACATAATCGAAGACCCCTCCCATCCTCTTCCATTGGGCAGAAGATATAACAGTTTCCAAACACATACCAACAGATCTAAGAACAACTTCTTCCCTGCTACTATGAAACTTATAAATGGACCTTTCATAAATTAGAGTTGATCTTTCTCTGCATCTTCTCTGTAGCTGTAACAATACACTCTGCATTCTGTTCAATTACCTAATGTACTTATGTAAGGTATGATTTGTCTGGTTAGCATGCAAACAATACTTTTCACTGTATCTTGGTACATGTGACAATAGTAAATTAAATCAAATCAAATACCTTAAGGAACTGGTGGACATGCACACCAAAGTGCTTCCGAAGGTCTGCAAATCATCATGTATTCCCTTGCCTTGTTTTTCCTCGCCAAATGCATCAAATCACATTTACCCAGATTGAATTCTATTTGCCACTGCTCAACCCATCTGACCATCCTGTCTGTATCCTCTTGTAGTCTATCTTCCTCACTATTTACCACTCCAACAATTTTTGTATCATCTGTTAACTTACTGATCAAATCTCCTACATTCAATCTAGATCATTTATATAAACCACAAACAGCAAGGGCCCCAATGTTGACCCTTTGGGATCCTATTGGGCATGGAAATCCAGTCAGAAAAACACCCCTCAACCATCGCTCTCTGCTTCCTGCCACTCAGCCAATTAAGGATCCAATTTACCAAATTTCCTTGGATGCCCTTGCTTTGCAGGTCATATCAAAAGCCTTGTGGAAGTCTAAGTAGACAACATCATGAGTCATCTGGTCATCACTTCGAAAATTCAATCAAGTTGATCAGATAAGACCACCCTTAACAAACCACGCTGACTGTTCATGATTATAATCCCTGCCTTTCAAAAATCAGATTAATTCTGCTTCGAACAGCAAGGATAGACTGAGCGGCCTGTAGTTTCTTGGTTATTTCCCCTAATATTTCAATGAAATCTGAAGGTTGCTAGGTTATGTTTTTAAATAACATTGTGTGCATTCTAAAATCCCAGGTACTGGGAGATAATGACATTCCCATGCATATGCTGCACTTTTTCGTTTGAGTGATAGATTTGCATTTGGAAGGAGTTGTACTCCAGCATACTCTTGGCTTATGTCTTGGTGATGTAGAGGCTTTGGCAAGTCTGGAGGTGACCACTTGCTGTAGAATAGGCAAAATCTATTATTGTTATTAAAATGTTACTCACCATTGTTGCAAGATTTTTGGGGTCTGATAGTCAACCTACTGCCCTCTGACCCTTCTCCTCAGACAGTGACCAAAGATCAGAGTGTTTAAAAAGGCCTTTATTACTCACTGTAGCAAGGGGCTCCTGAGCATCTAACCATGATATGCTGGAGAACCCGAACAGAGGCAGTTCTATGTTTTGATTCAGTTACAAGAAATTGACATATATAATTAAGAGGTACACAGTTATCCAGATCCAATTATTACTATTGATTAGATTTACATCATGCATAGAGTACAATTAACCATTCACTACATAGATACATCTAAATAATTGCAACCTATAGTTAGAAGACAGGTGCATACTATCAGGTCAAATTGCACTACAGACTATAATTTGTTTTTAACGTAATGTTTTATATCTAGCTTAAATATATCAAACAACCTCCCCTTTCTGTTGTCCCTGGTGTTTTAATAACTTCTTTCAAGACACAGAGGTTCGATGAATTAACAGCGTTGTGCAGTTGTGAGCACTGTCATTATAATTCCTTTACAATCTTGCAGATAGGTCTGCTTCTAGAAGAAATGGTATGCTGATCCCACATATCTTCCTATGTTTTGTTTAACCAGCAGTTTTGTGTCCATGTGAATTTATTCACAGCTAGCAACTGTGTGCTAATAAATATCCCTCTGCAAGTTAGTTTTTTTTAAACCCTTTCACTCCCTCCTTATAACTGGTCGTATACCAATATTGACTTTTCTTTTGTTAAGGACACCTCTGTGATCCTTTGGGTGGCCAGACCTCTAGATCCATGGAGGCATCCTAAACTACCCTGCTATAAATACTAGCTTCTTTTTTTTAATCCATCTTTTGTATACTGGTGTGCAGCGAAGGGTGGTCATAATCATAGTGATTCTTCATTGTTGACAACACGTAGCTGTCACCCATATAAGCAATGTTATTAGAAATACAGTTAAAATTAGATTTTATTGTCACATGTACTCAAGTACAGGGATACATGGGTACAGTGAAAAGTGTACAGTGTTGCCGATGCTGGCGCCATCTTAGGTACAAAGGTACCCAAGTACAAAATCTTATGTACAAAGTAGAGAATAAGTTGATGGGTCCAGGACTGTTTCAGTTTTGTTTCAGCTTTGATTGCCAAGTTTACTTGTATTCATTCCTTAAGAGTTTGCTGTCTGGAGCACCTGACACATTCTGGAGCAATTTCTTTAGTCTTCTGCATAGCCGGTATGATCGCCTTTCCTGGATTTTCAGCAACTTGTCATTTGTCATTCGACCAAGCCCAAAGCAGGCAGCCTGTTCATTTTGCTGTGCAGATGGAACTCCCCACTCAGTCAATAAATCAGTCTTAAATCCTGGTATGACTCTGAAGGGAACCCAGATGTTAAAGGGGTGTATGACCTCCTCACGGGGTTGGATATTCGATATTACGTGTGTGGAGTCAATGTAATGTATACAACTCCATACATGTTCACCACAAAAACTAATAATGAAGGACCATCTATCTATATAACTGCTAACAGGGTGGACTCGGCTAGTACTGGTGTAGAAGCCATCCTTAACAGTCAGTATTGTCAAGAACTATTTACATACACAATCGATAGACCTAGGTGTGTTCATGTTCGATTTCATAATCTCAGTACTCGTGGATATCAAAGACCTACCCAAAGTCTGAAAGTAGTACAGCTCCCCCCACTCCAGATAAGTTAGTCAGGGTTGGAAAGGCCAACACTTTACGTGATGTGACAAAGGTATCCTTAGGAGTGACCTGCAACATTTTGTTTTTTAGAGGTATTACATTCCACTGATCATTCTAATGTTATTTGGTGGCCTAAGGCTCAGCTCTATGGAATAATCGACGATTACACTTGCAGAATTTCCCCAGAGCCTCAGAATTGTATCAAACGGAGTGTACTAGGAGATAGTGGAGGATTATAAGGGGTTGCAAACTCTGTAGTTAATTCAGTACAACTGTCTGGATTAAACAGCTCCTCCTCCTGGGTTGCCAAAGGAAAAGTCAGGAAGGGATTCCAGTATGGAGCTTATGGGACTGAGTATGCATTGACCACTGTAGACTGACAAAATGAAGGTTCTTAAAAAGCCTTGTCCGAACGTCTGAAGAAATAATTTTTGCTATTGAGGCCCAAGGAAACGAAGATTGTGCGATTACCTTGTCTGGGATTTGATAGATGGCGTTGGTCTAACATCGAGGATCTGAGATTCTGAACTATTCCCTGAGATTTACTTACCTCCCTGTACAAATTAAATCTTCTCAGAAATACACCAAGACAGACATAAACTAATGGTCACTTGGACATAGTGGGGGTCCAGTAAAGGAAGTTGTAAAGTTTATAATGGCAGTCCCACAGAGAACTTATTCCACGGAGTCTTCAAGGCCAGTTACAGATTTAAAACACTGGGGCATAAAAGAAAGGTTGGGTTTACTGAATTGTGTCTCATGGATATATGACCCACAAGGAGGGCATGGCATAATTACCAAGTGCCAGGAGCACAGCACGTGCTGGTTGGACCCTTGAAAAATGCAAAATAACAACGAAATAGCTGCTAACATTTCACCACTAGGAAAGGCATTTAAAACTATACATGGGAACCCATCCAGTGATACTTCATCACACTGGAGATGAGGTACTTTCTAGGTGGACTAATTTGTGAAACCATCCACAGTTTTTTTCTGCTACTTGG